CACAGCACACGAGTGTGTAAAGCAGTGACCAATCACAGCACACGCGTGTATAAAGCAATGACCATTCACAGCACACGAGTGTGTAAAGCAGTGACCAATCACAGCACACGAGTGTGTAAAGCAGTGACCAATCACAGCACACGCGTGTGTAAAGCAGTGACCAATCACAGCACACTAGTGTGTAAAGCAGTGACCAATCACAGCACGTGTATAAAGCAGTGACCAATCACAGCACACGCGTGTATAAAGCAATGACCATTCACAGCACACGAGTGTGTAAAGCAGTGACCAATCACAGCGCACGCGTGTATAAAGCAATGACCAATCACAGCACACGCGTGTATAAAGCAGTGACCAATCACAGCACATGCGTGTGTAAAGCAGTGACCAATCACAGCACACGCGTGTATAAAGCAGTGACCAATCACAGCACACGAGTGTATAAAGCAATGACCATTCACAGCACACGAGTGTGTAAAGCAGTGACCAATCACAGCACACGCGTGTATAAAGCAATGACCATTCACAGCACACGAGTGTGTAAAGCAGTGACCAATCACAGCGCACGCGTGTATAAAGCAATGACCAATCACAGCACACGCGTGTATAAAGCAGTGACCAATCACAGCACATGCGTGTGTAAAGCAGTGACCAATCACAGCACACGCGTGTATAAAGCAGTGACCAATCACAGCACACGAGTGTATAAAGCAATGACCATTCACAGCACACGAGTGTGTAAAGCAGTGACCAATCACAGCACACGCGTGTATAAAGCAGTGACCAATCACAGCACACGAGTGTATAAAGCAATGACCATTCACAGCACACGAGTGTGTAAAGCAGTGACCAATCACAGCGCACGCGTGTATAAAGCAGTGACCAATCACAGCACACGAGTGTATAAAGCAATGACCATTCACAGCACACGAGTGTGTAAAGCAGTGACCAATCACAGCACACGCGTGTATAAAGCAATGACCATTCACAGCACACGAGTGTGTAAAGCAGTGACCAATCACAGCACACGAGTGTGTAAAGCAGTGACCAATCACAGCACACGCGTGTGTAAAGCAGTGACCAATCACAGCACACTAGTGTGTAAAGCAGTGACCAATCACAGCACACGAGTGTGTAAAGCAGTGACCAATCACAGCACACGAGTGTGTAAAGCAGTGACCAATCACAGCACACGAGTGTGTAAAGCAGTGACCATTCACAGCACACGAGTGTGTAAAGCAGTGACCAATCACAGCACACGAGTGTGTAAAGCAGTGACCAATCACAGCACACGCGTGTATAAAGCAGTGACCAATCACAGCACACGCGTGTATAAAGCAGTGACCAATCACAGCACGTGTATAAAGCAGTGACCAATCACAGCACACGCGTGTATAAAGCAATGACCAATCACAGCACACGCGTGTATAAAGCAGTGACCAATCACAGCACATGCGTGTGTAAAGCAGTGACCAATCACAGCACACGCGTGTGTAAAGCAATGACCATTCACAGCACACGAGTGTGTAAAGCAGTGACCAATCACAGCGCACGCGTGTATAAAGCAGTGACCAATCACAGCACACGAGTGTATAAAGCAATGACCATTCACAGCACACGAGTGTGTAAAGCAGTGACCAATCACAGCACACGAGTGTGTAAAGCAGTGACCAATCACAGCACACGAGTGTGTAAAGCAGTGACCATTCACAGCACACGAGTGTGTAAAGCAGTGACCAATCACAGCACACGAGTGTGTAAAGCAGTGACCAATCACAGCACACGCGTGTATAAAGCAGTGACCAATCACAGCACACGCGTGTATAAAGCAGTGACCAATCACAGCACGTGTATAAAGCAGTGACCAATCACAGCACACGCGTGTATAAAGCAATGACCAATCACAGCACACGCGTGTATAAAGCAGTGACCAATCACAGCACACGAGTGTGTAAAGCAATGACCATTCACAGCACACGAGTGTGTAAAGCAGTGACCAATCACAGCGCACGCGTGTATAAAGCAGTGACCAATCACAGCACACGAGTGTATAAAGCAATGACCATTCACAGCACACGAGTGTGTAAAGCAGTGACCAATCACAGCACACGCGTGTATAAAGCAATGACCATTCACAGCACACGAGTGTGTAAAGCAGTGACCAATCACAGCGCACGCGTGTATCAAGCAGTGACCAATCACAGCACACGAGTGTATAAAGCAATGACCATTCACAGCACACGAGTGTGTAAAGCAGTGACCAATCACAGCACACGCGTGTATAAAGCAATGACCATTCACAGCACACGAGTGTGTAAAGCAGTGACCAATCACAGCGCACGCGTGTATAAAGCAGTGACCAATCACAGCACACGAGTGTATAAAGCAATGACCATTCACAGCACACGAGTGTGTAAAGCAGTGACCAATCACAGCACACGCGTGTATAAAGCAATGACCATTCACAGCACACGAGTGTGTAAAGCAGTGACCAATCACAGCGCACGCGTGTATCAAGCAGTGACCAATCACAGCACACGAGTGTATAAAGCAATGACCATTCACAGCACACGAGTGTGTAAAGCAGTGACCAATCACAGCACACGCGTGTATAAAGCAATGACCATTCACAGCACACGAGTGTGTAAAGCAGTGACCAATCACAGCGCACGCGTGTATAAAGCAATGACCAATCACAGCACACGCGTGTATAAAGCAGTGACCAATCACAGCACATGCGTGTGTAAAGCAGTGACCAATCACAGCACACGCGTGTATAAAGCAGTGACCAATCACAGCACATGCGTGTGTAAAGCAGTGACCAATCACAGCACACGCGTGTGTAAAGCAGTGACCAATCACAGCACACGCGTGTATAAAGCAGTGACCAATCACAGCACATGCGTGTGTAAAGCAGTGACCAATCACAGCACACGCGTGTGTAAAGCAATGACCAATAAGCCTTTTTCACACTTCCGGGTTTTGTGTTTCTGGTGCTCACCGACGCCGGGTAAACTTACTTCCGGTGACAACAACAATGGCCGAGTCCAAGAATAAGTGTTCCTGTAGTGTCCCTCAGTGCAGCAATTCTAAGCAAAAACAACCTTATTTATCTTTTCACGGGTATCCTTTGAATGAAGACAAAAAAAAAGGAATGGGTTATCGCTATTAGACGGAACGAAGGGTCTACGTTCGTCATTCGGAGAGGCAGCACGTATGTCTGCAGTCAGCATTTTACCGCTGTCGACTACATTCCAGGAAGTTCGCGGCTGAAGGTTGGTGCCATTCCCAGTCGTTTCCCTTGGAACAATTTCTATGTACCCCCTCAAAGGCTGTCAGCTTTTGAGAGAGGCCATTGCACGCCTCAGAATTCTGGTGGAAAGGGTAATTCGAAGGGTCAAGGAAAACCACATTTGGGATTCTGTTGTGCCACTCACCTTGTCAGGAAGCATCAATCAAATCTGGCATAATTGCTGTTTTATGGTTAATTACCAGGGGCCGATGTTTCTTGAGGAGTGAATGTACAGTATACAAGTATATATGTATAATATAATAAATATTAGATATTTACAATGACAGTGTGATTGATTTTTACAATAGTAGTGACAGACTTTCAATATTTTACATTAAATATCTTGTTTTTACTTTTTTGTTTACTTTGTACTGTGACATTTGATCAAATGTATATTGTCATTATTTATACTAAATTTCCTGAAAGTAATTTGACAGACGCATTGAAATAGTTGACAAAATGCATTTAATAAGAATCAATAAAAACAAAATTGTAAACTGAGTTCTGCTGTTGATTGTTATTTCACACAATACAAATACATAAACAATTAGTAAATGTGTATGCATACATATCATATATATATTACACAATATCAAATTCAAAATATAATAATGTATTAACTATTAGGCTATGTACATAAATGTGGGTATACTGTATATGTAACGCATGTTATAAACATGAAGGAGCTTTTATGCATGTTTATGATAACTGTCATTAAGTGTCATTCGCTCAATTATGACATTTTTAATGCAAATATGACATTGAGATGTCTTTGTCATGACAACTTGACAGTAAATTAAGTTAAACTGTCATGTGGTTGGTTTTGACATTGGCTGTCATGAGGCATTATAACTGTGCCATTAATATTTTTTGTGACCTCAACAGTGGTACACATTCAATTTGTCATTAAAAAGTTATAATGGCTTCATGACAGCCAATGTCAAAACCAACCACCTGACAGTTTAATGTAATTTAATGGTTATGATGTATTGATTTGTCAAGTTGTCATAAAGACATCTATAACAATGTCATATTTGCATTAAAAATGTCATAATTGAGTGAATGAGACTTAATGACAGTTGTCACAAACATGCATAAAACCTCCTTCATATTCATATATGAAGGTGTCATGTCAGTCTTACGCACACCCATTCAAGTAAAGTGTTATCGTACATTTATACCACTGAAAGATACACATCCATGTAAACATAATAATAGTACATGTCTAGCTTGTCTTTCATTGATGCTATGAAGGCATCATCTCGCCAGATCCTCTGTATTGTGAAATCTGATTTTGTGTCAGTCACAAAGTCACACCACTGTAGACCAGTCACTGCAAGCTGGCCTTGAACCTGCCAGTAGTACTTGTGGGTCTCTTTGAGTTTGGCTTGTCCTCTTTGAAGTTTGATAAATGGAACCTGGGCAATGTTATCAGCAGATGTGCTTTTTACTTCCACTAGTCCAAATTGGAAGGTTTCAGATGGATCATGCACTCGTCCATCTGGACTGGCTCCTAGATGTGGTGCTTCTGGGTTGATAATAAAACCACAAGGTAGGACACTAACACTGGCTATCTCAGAATATTTTCTCAAAATATCTGGCTCAAGTTCAAGGCCACGTTTCATAGCACTTGTCTGCCTCGTGCCCTTGATGATTCTTGCCGCTAATGACTGACCAGTTGAATCCCCAACTACATGACTAACTCTTCAATCTGACAAGCGGAACAATGGGTAACCTTTATAGACTCCAGATGAAGTGATTGATGGTGTGTGGGCACATATTTAAAATTACAGCCAAACTGATAGCCAAGCACAGGTAGTGGGGGGAAATTAACAACAGGAATATCTACAGCTATAGGGGGACATTGGTATGAAAGTGGACTACCACGAGGTACAGGACCAAACTGTGAGGGGACCAACTCTATTTTTGACATGCCCTCTAGTATGTGTGCCAGCAAAGGCCGGGGATGGATCTGACTCAGTTTGGTACCAGAAGCCAATACATCAGAATCTGGAAGGGGACCTAAAGAAATTAATACAAACTATTAGTTTTGAACACATTAAGTTGTAGCTGAGTACACGACGTGTACACATACAGTGTTGTGTATTACCTGTGTAAGCCCTGTATAGAGTAGACTTGATTCCAGTCTTCCCAGCTGACTTTGGCTTCAGGACAACAAGTTCACTCACTGCCTCTGGATGGACTCCCTTAGCATTAAATAAACAGATGCAAAGTTAAAATATTCTCGAAACACTTTATAATAAGGTTTTATACATTTACATTAGTTTATGCATTTAGTCAATATGAAATAATGAGTAATAACAGTTAACAGATTGTATTAATCTTGGGTGATGTTCATTTATACCTTTGTTACTTAATCTGCACTCTAGTGCATTATTAGTCCATAATGCTTTGATGTTAACATGTAGCCTACTTACTTGCTCGAGTTGATACTATAGTGTTCTTACCATTTGCAGAAAAGAAAAAATACATGCCTGTGTTCTTGGACGATGCCATCTCTGTGGCTCACTCGTGCAGGCCAGTGGTGGAGGGACAGACTGTAAATTCAGCTGCACATAGTGGGCCGTCTGATACAGAAGTGCTGTCAGATGGTTGCACAACCCTTTACCAGCTGCACATGTAGGCAGAAATACAAACAACCTCTTCTGTCTCCAGTGATACCTGTTTGAGAAGACAATAATTTAGCTAATGAATTGTAATTTTATGCTGTGAGCTACATTAAAGGGATAGTTCACTTAAAAATTGTAAATTAATACCGAAAAAGTTTCTGTTGTCCTCATAGTATTTGTTGCCATATTTGTCATTACCCACTAAGGCTTCTGTCTTGATATCATTTACCCTGAGAAAGACATTTCAATTATGCCTTAAATCCCATTGACTTCCATTGTAGGAAAAAAAATACTATGGAAGTCAATGGGACCAGTAAACTGTTTGGTTACTGACATTATTCAAAATATCTTCATTTGTGTTCAGCAGAAGAAAGAAATTCATACAGGCTAAAAAACAACTTGAGGGTGAGTATATGATGACAGAATTTTCATTTTGAAGTGTACTATCCCTTTAAGTGCTGTTAATTGAAAGCTGCAAACAGCAGCAAAAGCAAGAAATACAGCTGTAGTCTGCAACCGCAGAAGCAATGAAAGAGACATAACTAAAACCCAACATAGAAAAACTTAAGACAGGTGAAACTAAAATAAAGGGAAACAAATTCTGCAACCGCAGTAACTTGATATCAGAACGATCTGACTAACTCATAACGTTAAGCCAACCGGCATATTAACGTTGCATATAACCTCAAGAGTGTGGGGCTCCTCATTTTTCCTCATAGACTGATAACACCTAGCTCTTACTACCACCTTGCGATCAACAACATTGGAGACTGAACACATACAAATGGTTAGCAATTAGCATTCATAATGTTGTAAGTGCCAGATAGTTGTCAACTTACCTTGATAATTGTGAATAAATTCCTCAACGAAGAATTTATAGCCCTTGCTCAGCCTCGTTTCTTTAACTGTTGAGTGCCGTCCAACAATTCTGTCAACATCCTCAAATCTGAGTCGTGGAAGTGTCGAGAGAGAAGTTGTGAAATAACGCTCCATGTTCAAACACCGTAGTTTCAGCTGTGGCGGAAATCAGTTTACCCGACGTGACGTAGTTTCCGGTTACGCGTGAAAAAGGCTTATCACAGCGCACGCGTGTATAAAGCAGTGACCAATCACAGCACACGAGTGTATAAAGCAATGACCATTCACAGCACACGAGTGTGTAAAGCAGTGACCAATCACAGCACACGCGTGTATAAAGCAATGACCAATCACAGCACACGCGTGTGTAAAGCAATGACCATTCACAGCACACGAGTGTGTAAAGCAGTGACCAATCACAGCACACGCGTGTATAAAGCAATGACCAATCACAGCACACGCGTGTGTAAAGCAGTGACCAATCACAGCACACGAGTGTGTAAAGCAGTGACCAATCACAGCTTACGTGTGTATAAAGCAATGACCAATCACAGCACACGAGTGTATAAAGCAATGACCAATCACAGCACACGCGTGTATAAAGCAGTGACCAATCACAGCACACGAGTGTGTAAAGCAGTGACCAATCACAGCACACGCGTGTATAAAGCAATGACCATTCACAGCACACGAGTGTGTAAAGCAGTGACCAATCACAGCACACGAGTGTATAAAGCAATGACCAATCACAGCACACGAGTGTGTAAAGCAGTGACCAATCACAGCACACGAGTGTGTAAAGCAGTGACCAATCACAGCACACGAGTGTGTAAAGCAGTGACCAATCACAGCACACGCGTGTATAAAGCAATGACCATTCACAGCACATGCGTGTATAAAGCAATGACCAATCACAGCACACGAGTGTGTAAAGCAGTGACCAATCACAGCACACGAGTGTGTAAAGCAGTGACCAATCACAGCACACGCGTGTATAAAGCAATGACCATTCACAGCACATGCGTGTATAAAGCAATGACCAATCACAGCACACGCGTGTATAAAGCAGTGACCAATCACAGCACACGAGTGTGTAAAGCAGTGACCAATCACAGCACATGCGTGTATAAAGCAGTGACCAATCACAGCGCACGCGTGTATAAAGCAGTGACCAATCACAGCACACGAGTGTGTAAAGCAGTGACCAATCACAGCACACGTTTGTGTAAAGATGCACACACACACATAGAGAAACATGTGTGGACAGCAGGACAATCCTCTTCATCGCTATTCATTTAATCATATGATAAATTCATGATAAATCATAACTTGAACTCTAAATAATTGCCTTTAAGGTCTTGTTCTGGAACAGTTTTCACCCGGGACAAAAGATCAGTTCACTGAACACACTGGGGCATGTTGTCACAGTGAGAAGACCATGACAAACACATGAGAGGTAGTGTGGTTTAACAGGCCTGGTCTCCGCTGTATATTCATATGTAATTCCTCTCAGTCTGTATTATGATTGTGAGAATGTACTGATCTCAGCTCTGCTCCCTCTGGACTTCATGCTTTAACAAGCACACATTAAACAAACTCCTGCCGTCTGACGGTGTGTGTTTCTGACAGTGTGTGTTTCTGACGGTGTGTGTTTCTGACAGTGTGTGTTTCTAACGGTGTGTGTTTCTGACAGTGTGTGTTTCTGACGGTGTGTGTTTCTGACGGTGTGTGTTTCTGACGGTGTGTGTTTCTGACAGTGTGTGTTTCTGACGGTGTGTGTTTCTGACAGTGTGTGTTTCTGACAGTGTGTGTTTCTGACGGTGGTGTGTTTCTGACGGTGTGTGTTTCTAACGTGTGTGTTTCTGACAGTGTGTGTTTCTGACAGTGTGTGTTTCTGACGGTGTGTGTTTTTGACGGTGTGTGTTTCTGACAGTGTGTGTTTCTGCTGTCTGTGTGTTTTTGACGGTGTGTGTTTCTAACGTGTGTGTTTCTGACGGTGTGTGTTTCTGACGGTGTGTGTTTCTGACGGTGTGTGTTTCTGACGGTGTGTGTTTCTAACGGTGTGTGTTTCTGACAGTGTGTGTTTCTGACGGTGTGTGTTTCTGACAGTGTGTGTTTCTGACGGTGTGTGTTTCTGACAGTGTGTGTTTCTGACAGTGTGTGTTTCTGACAGTGTGTGTTTCTGCTGTCTGTGTGTTTTTGACAGTGTGTTTCTGACAGTGTGTGTTTCTGACGGTTGTGTGTTTCTGACGGTGTGTTTCTGACAGTGTGTGTGTTTCTGACGGTTGTGTGTTTCTGACGGTGTGTTTCTGACAGTGTGTGTTTCTGCTGTCTGTGTGTTTTTGACAGTGTGTTTCTGACAGTGTGTGTGTTTCTGACGGTTGTGTGTTTCTTACGGTGTGTGTTTCTGACGGTGTGTGTGTGTTTCTGACGGTTGTGTGTTTCTGACGGTGTGTGTTTCTGACGGTGTGTGTTTCTGACGGTGTGTGTTTCTGACGGTTGTGTGTTTCTGACGGTGTGTGTTTCTGACGGTGTGTGTGTGTTTCTGACTGTGTGTGTTTCTGACAGTGTGTGTTTCTGACGGTGTGTGTTTCTGACGGTGTGTGTGTGTTTCTGACTGTGTGTGTTTCTGACGGTTGTGTGTTTCTGACGGTGTGTTTCTGACAGTGTGTGTTTCTGACGGTTGTGTGTTTCTGACAGTGTGTGTTTCTGACGGTTGTGTGTTTCTGACGGTGTGTTTCTGACAGTGTGTGTTTCTGCTGTCTGTGTGTTTTTGACAGTGTGTTTCTGACAGTGTGTGTGTTTCTGACGGTTGTGTGTTTCTTACGGTGTGTGTTTCTGACGGTTGTGTGTTTCTTACGGTGTGTGTTTCTGACGGTTGTGTGTTTCTGACGGTTGTGTGTTTCTGACAGTGTGTGTTTCTGACTGTGTGTGTTTCTGACAGTGTGTGTGTTTCTGACGGCTGTGTGTTTATGACGGTGTGTGTTTCTGACGGTTGTGTGTTTCTGACGGTGTGTGTTTCTGACGGTGTGTGTGTTTCTGACTGTGTGTGTTTATGACGGTGTGTGTTTCTGACGGTTGTGTGTTTCTGACGGTGTGTGTTTCTGACGGTGTGTGTGTTTCTGACTGTGTGTGTTTCTGACTGTGTGTTTCTGACGGTTGTGTGTTTCTGACGGTGTGTGTGTTTCTTACAGTGTGTGTTTCTGACAGTGTGTGATTCTGATGGTGTGTGTTTCTGACGGTGTGTGTTTCTGACGGTGTGTGTTTCTGACGGTGTGTGTTTCTGACGGTTGTGTGTTGCTGACGGTTGTGTGTTTCCTGACGGTTGTGTGTTTCTTACAGTGTGTGTGTTTCTGACGGTGTGTTTTTGACGGTGTGTGTTTCTGACTGTGTGTGTTTCCGGTGTGTGTTTCTGATGGTTGTGTGTTTCTGATGGTGTGTGTTTCTGACGGTGTGTGTTTCTGACGGTGTGTGTGTGTTTCTGACGGTTGTGTGTTGCTGACGGTTGTGTGTTTCTGACGGTTGTGTGTTTCTGACAGTGTGTGTGTTTCTGACGGTGTGTTTCTGACGGTGTGTGTTTCTGACTGTGTGTGTTTCCGGTGTGTGTTTCTGATGGTTGTGTGTTTCTGATGGTGTGTGTTTCTGACGGTGTGTGTTTCTGACGGTGTGTGTTTCTGATGGTTGTGTGTTTCTGATGGTGTGTGTTTCTGCTGTCTGTGTGTTTTTGACAGTGTGTTTCTGACAGTGTGTGTTTCTGACGGTTGTGTGTTTCTGACGGTTGTGTGTTTCTGACGGTTGTGTGTTTCTGACGGTGTGTTTCTGACAGTGTGTGTTTCTGCTGTCTGTGTGTTTTTGACAGTGTGTTTCTGACAGTGTGTGTGTTTCTGACGGTTGTGTGTTTCTTACGGTGTGTGTTTCTGACGGTTGTGTGTTTCTGACGGTTGTGTGTTTCTGACGGTGTGTGTTTCTGACGGTGTGTGTGTGTTTCTGACTGTGTGTGTTTCTGACAGTGTGTGTTTCTGACGGTGTGTGTTTCTGACGGTGTGTGTGTGTTTCTGACAGTGTGTGTTTCTGACAGTGTGTGTTTCTGACAGTGTGTGTTTCTGACGGTTGTGTGTTTCTGATGGTGTGTGTTTCTGACGGTGTGTGTTTCTGATGGTGTGTGTTTCTGATGGTGTGTGTTTCTGACGGTTGTGTGTTTCTGATGGTGTGTGTTTCTGATGGTGTGTGTTTCTGATGGTGTGTGTTTCTGACGGTTGTGTGTTTCTGATGGTGTGTGTTTCTGACGGTTGTGTGTTTCTGATGGTGTGTGTTTCTGATGGTGTGTGTTTCTGATGGTGTGTGTTTCTGATGGTGTGTGTTTCTGATGGTGTGTGTTTCTGACGGTTGTGTGTTTCTGATGGTGTGTGTTTCATGACGGTGTGTGTTTCTGATGGTGTGTGTTTCTGACGGTTGTGTGTTTCTGATGGTGTGTGTTTCTGATGGTGTGTGTTTCTGATGGTGTGTGTTTCTGATGGTGTGTGTTTCTGACAGTGTTGTTTCTGACAGTGTGTGTTTCTGACAGTGTGTGTGTGTTTCTGACAGTGTTGTTTCTGACAGCTGCTCTCCAGGAAAGTGTTTGTGTTTCCAGCATCTTCTTCCTGATGGCCGGAGTCTTCGCGATCTGTTCGCTCGGGAAACTCTTCATGTTTAACAGTGGGAAATAAATCTCTTATATCTGTATGAATGCAAGGGGTTTGGGAAAAGAGTGCAACCTTATGCACTCAACTGTATGAATAAAGTACCAGTCAAACATCTGGACACATTTGATTCAATATATATTTAATTGAATGTGTTTAATTAGACATGTGTGTAAAGAATAATATAAAGTCATTATCTCGAAATAATGGCTGCTCAAATAAATGCATCGACATTACATATTGATTTAAGTTTACAGTATTTCATTATATATTATTTTTGTATGAAAAAAAATCCATTACAAACCAGACGAACACTACAACAATATTTTAGCATTATTTATATATTGCTATTAATTTGCAGCACAAGTGAAATCTGTGGTCATTACAATTAGGTTTATATCATAACTGCTGGAGTCATTACTGTGTGTGTGTGTGTGTGTGTGTGTGTGTATGTGAGAGTGAGTGAATGTGTGTGTGTGTGTGTGTGTGTGTGTGAGAGAGAGAGAGAGAGAGAGAGAGTGTGTGTGTGTGTGTGTGTGTGTGTGTGTGTGTGTGTCTCAGACTGCAGCTGCACTGCTGGATCCCACTGGGCTTCATTAAAAGAAACTGCAGTCAGTGTGAGACCGAGAGACAGAAACAGACATATTAACCGACACACACACACACACACACACACATATATGTAGATAGAGAGAGAGAGAGAGAGAGAGAGAGAGAGAGAGAGAGAGAGAGAGAGGTCAGTAAATGATAGTATAGTCACCAGACTGAGCCCAACACTATAGTTCCTCACTAGTTCCTCCAGATGAAACAGCTTCACAGATGCTGGACTCAATACAGAGCCTCCTATCTTCAGAGCAGTGTCTGATGCTGCTGACTCTCATGAGTGGGCAGATATCATGAGAGACTATATAAGACGGAGAGTCTGAGAAAACAGCAGCAGGCAGAGGAGATTATGGTCCATCTAAGAGGAAGTGTGGGATGTGGTCAAGTTGGCATAAGGAACCGTGATGTAGTGCATAACCCTGATGCTCTCTTCAGTATTCTCAGCAAGCTCCTTGCTCGGCAAACTCTCCTCTCCCACTGGCTGACTTTTACACCAGCTTATCCAGACCAGACCCAGAACTTACCCAGACCGGACCTAGACCTTACCCAGACCAGACCCAGACCTTACCCAGACCGGACCCAGACCCAGACCGGACCCAGACCAGATCCAGACTGAACCCAGACCAGACCCAGACTGAACCCAGACCTTACCCAGACCAGACCCAGACCAGACCCAGACCAGACCCAGAACGGACCCAAACCTTACCCAGACCGGACCCAGACCAGACCCAGACCGGACCCAGACCAGATCCAGACTAAACCCAGACCAGACCCAGAACTTACCCAGACCGAACCCAGACCAGACCCAGACCGGACCCAGACCTTACCCAGACCTTACCCAAACCCAGACCGGACCCAGACCCAGACCTTACCCAGACCGGACCCAGACCAGACCCAGACCCAGACCAGATCCAGACTGAACCCAGACCGGACCCAGACCGGACCCAGACCGGACCCAGACCGGACCCAGACCTTACCCAGACCGGACCCAGACCAGACCCAGACCTTACCCAGACCGGACCCAGACCCAGACCAGACCCAGACCGGACCCAGACCAGATCCAGACCGGACCCAGACCAGACCCAGACCGGACCCAGACCTGACCCAGACCCAGACCGGACCCAGACCAGACCCGACCCAGACCTTACCCAGACCGGACCCAGACCCAGACCAGATCCAGACTGAACCCAGACTGAACCCAGACCAGACCCAGACCAGACCCAGACCCAGACCGGACCCAGACCGGACCCAGACCAGATCCAGACTGAACCCAGACTGAACCCAGACCAGACCCAGACTGAACCCAGACCTTACCCAGACCGGACCCAGACTGAACCCAGACCTTACCCAGACCGGACCCAGACCAGACCCAGACCAGACCCAGACCTTACCCAGACCCAGACCTTACCCAGACCGGACCCAGACCCAGACCGAACCCAGACCTTACCCAGACCCAGACCAGACCCAGACCGGACCCAGACCTTACCCAGACCTTACCCAGACCCAGACCGGACCCAGACCTTACCCAGACCGGTTCCAGACCGGACCCAGACCTTACCCAGACCGGACCCAGACCAGACCCAGACCGGACCCAGAACAGACCCAGACCGAACCCAGACCAGACCCAGACCGGACCCAGACCTTACCCAGACCCAGACCGGATCCAGACCAGACCCAGACCCAGACCTTACCCAGACCAGACCAGACCAGACCGAGACCTTACCCAGACCGGACCCAGACCAGATGGCGAGTGCCACGAGTCCTGGCTCAGGCTTAACTGTGCAGTTCATGTCGCTGCTGAAAGAACAGGATAAAGTACTGGACAGGAACAGAGGTTACCCAACAACTAATGCATGATCTGTGTGAGACGTTCAGGATATTTTGAATGAATATCACTCAGATGCCAGTCCGTTTGTATCTGCAGTAGGAAATGCAGCCCTTATTGAAACTGAACAGAACTGAAGGCTCGAGGCCTCAATGCGTTGTGGCCGTGTCTAGGCGCAGGTCCACCATCTGATCTGGATACGGCCCGGATCCGGCTGACTACATCATGTGTTGTGGTCGTGTCTAGGCGCAGGTCCACCATCTGATCTGGATACGGCCCGGATCCGGCTGACTACATCATGTGTTGTGGTCGTGTCTAGGCGCAGGTCCACCATCTGATCTGGATACGGCCCGGATCTGGCTGACTACATCATGTGTTGTGGTCGTGTCTAGGCGCAGGTCCTCCATCTGATCTGGATACGGCCCGGATCCGGCTGACTACATCATGCGTTGTGGTCGTGTCTAGGCGCAGGTCCTCCTTCTGATCAGGATACGGCCTGGATCCGGCTGACTACATCATGTGTTGTGGTCGAGTCTAGGCGCAGGTCCACCATCTGATCTGGATACGGCCTGGATCCGGCTGACTCCATCATGCGTTGTGGTCGTGTCTAGGCGCAGGTCCTCCATCTGATCTGGATACGGACTGGATCCGGCTGACTCCATCATGCGTTGTGGTCGTGTCTAGGCGCAGGTCCTCCATCTGATCTGGATACGGCCCGGATCCGGCTGACTCCATCATGCGTTGTGGTCGTGTCTAGGCGCAGGTCCTCCATCTGATCTGGATACGGCCTGGATCCGGCTGACTACATCATGTGCACACGAGTGTGTAAAGCAGTGACCAATCACAGCACACGCGTGTATAAAGCAATGACCAATCACAGCACACGCGTGTGTAAAGCAATGACCATTCACAGCACACGAGTGTGTAAAGCAGTGACCAATCACAGCACACGCGTGTATAAAGCAATGACCAATCACAGCACACGCGTGTGTAAAGCAGTGACCAATCACAGCACACGAGTGTGTAAAGCAGTGACCAATCACAGCTTACGTGTGTATAAAGCAATGACCAATCACAGCACACGAGTGTATAAAGCAATGACCAATCACAGCACACGCGTGTATAAAGCAGTGACCAATCACAGCACACGAGTGTGTAAAGCAGTGACCAATCACAGCACACGCGTGTATAAAGCAATGACCATTCACAGCACACGAGTGTGTAAAGCAGTGACCAATCACAGCACACGAGTGTATAAAGCAATGACCAATCACAGCACACGAGTGTGTAAAGCAGTGACCAATCACAGCACACGAGTGTGTAAAGCAGTGACCAATCACAGCACACGCGTGTATAAAGCAATGACCATTCACAGCACATGCGTGTATAAAGCAATGACCAATCACAGCACACGAGTGTGTAAAGCAGTGACCAATCACAGCACACGAGTGTGTAAAGCAGTGACCAATCACAGCACACGCGTGTATAAAGCAATGACCATTCACAGCACATGCGTGTATAAAGCAATGACCAATCACAGCACACGCGTGTATAAAGCAGTGACCAATCACAGCACACGAGTGTGTAAAGCAGTGACCATTCACAGCACACGAGTGTGTAAAGCAGTGACCAATCACAGCACACGAGTGTATAAAGCAATGACCAATCACAGCACACGAGTGTGTAAAGCAGTGACCAATCACAGCACACGAGTGTGTAAAGCAGTGACCAATCACAGCAAGTGTGATTGGTCAACTGACAGTGTGTGTGTTTCTGACGGTTGTGTGTTTCTTACGGTGTGTGTTTCTGACGGTGTGTGTGTGTTTCTGACGGTTGTGTGTTTCTGACGGTGTGTGTTTCTGACGGTGTGTGTTTCTGACGGTGTGTGTTTCTGACGGTTGTGTGTTTCTGACGGTGTGTGTTTCTGACGGTGTGTGTGTGTTTCTGACTGTGTGTGTTTCTGACAGTGTGTGTTTCTGACGGTGTGTGTTTCTGACGGTGTGTGTGTGTTTCTGACTGTGTGTGTTTCTGACGGTTGTGTGTTTCTGACGGTGTGTTTCTGACAGTGTGTGTTTCTGACGGTTGTGTGTTTCTGACAGTGTGTGTTTCTGACGGTTGTGTGTTTCTGACGGTGTGTTTCTGACAGTGTGTGTTTCTGCTGTCTGTGTGTTTTTGACAGTGTGTTTCTGACAGTGTGTGTGTTTCTGACGGTTGTGTGTTTCTTACGGTGTGTGTTTCTGACGGTTGTGTGTTTCTTACGGTGTGTGTTTCTGACGGTTGTGTGTTTCTGACGGTTGTGTGTTTCTGACAGTGTGTGTTTCTGACTGTGTGTGTTTCTGACAGTGTGTGTGTTTCTGACGGCTGTGTGTTTATGACGGTGTGTGTTTCTGACGGTTGTGTGTTTCTGACGGTGTGTGTTTCTGACGGTGTGTGTGTTTCTGACTGTGTGTGTTTATGACGGTGTGTGTTTCTGACGGTTGTGTGTTTCTGACGGTGTGTGTTTCTGACGGTGTGTGTGTTTCTGACTGTGTGTGTTTCTGACTGTGTGTTTCTGACGGTTGTGTGTTTCTGACGGTGTGTGTGTTTCTTACAGTGTGTGTTTCTGACAGTGTGTGATTCTGATGGTGTGTGTTTCTGACGGTGTGTGTTTCTGACGGTGTGTGTTTCTGACGGTGTGTGTTTCTGACGGTTGTGTGTTGCTGACGGTTGTGTGTTTCCTGACGGTTGTGTGTTTCTTACAGTGTGTGTGTTTCTGACGGTGTGTTTTTGACGGTGTGTGTTTCTGACTGTGTGTGTTTCCGGTGTGTGTTTCTGATGGTTGTGTGTTTCTGATGGTGTGTGTTTCTGACGGTGTGTGTTTCTGACGGTGTGTGTGTGTTTCTGACGGTTGTGTGTTGCTGACGGTTGTGTGTTTCTGACGGTTGTGTGTTTCTGACAGTGTGTGTGTTTCTGACGGTGTGTTTCTGACGGTGTGTGTTTCTGACTGTGTGTGTTTCCGGTGTGTGTTTCTGATGGTTGTGTGTTTCTGATGGTGTGTGTTTCTGACGGTGTGTGTTTCTGACGGTGTGTGTTTCTGATGGTTGTGTGTTTCTGATGGTGTGTGTTTCTGCTGTCTGTGTGTTTTTGACAGTGTGTTTCTGACAGTGTGTGTTTCTGACGGTTGTGTGTTTCTGACGGTTGTGTGTTTCTGACGGTTGTGTGTTTCTGACGGTGTGTTTCTGACAGTGTGTGTTTCTGCTGTCTGTGTGTTTTTGACAGTGTGTTTCTGACAGTGTGTGTGTTTCTGACGGTTGTGTGTTTCTTACGGTGTGTGTTTCTGACGGTTGTGTGTTTCTGACGGTTGTGTGTTTCTGACGGTGTGTGTTTCTGACGGTGTGTGTGTGTTTCTGACTGTGTGTGTTTCTGACAGTGTGTGTTTCTGACGGTGTGTGTTTCTGACGGTGTGTGTGTGTTTCTGACAGTGTGTGTTTCTGACAGTGTGTGTTTCTGACAGTGTGTGTTTCTGACGGTTGTGTGTTTCTGATGGTGTGTGTTTCTGACGGTGTGTGTTTCTGATGGTGTGTGTTTCTGATGGTGTGTGTTTCTGACGGTTGTGTGTTTCTGATGGTGTGTGTTTCTGATGGTGTGTGTTTCTGATGGTGTGTGTTTCTGACGGTTGTGTGTTTCTGATGGTGTGTGTTTCTGACGGTTGTGTGTTTCTGATGGTGTGTGTTTCTGATGGTGTGTGTTTCTGATGGTGTGTGTTTCTGATGGTGTGTGTTTCTGATGGTGTGTGTTTCTGACGGTTGTGTGTTTCTGATGGTGTGTGTTTCATGACGGTGTGTGTTTCTGATGGTGTGTGTTTCTGACGGTTGTGTGTTTCTGATGGTGTGTGTTTCTGATGGTGTGTGTTTCTGATGGTGTGTGTTTCTGATGGTGTGTGTTTCTGACAGTGTTGTTTCTGACAGTGTGTGTTTCTGACAGTGTGTGTGTGTTTCTGACAGTGTTGTTTCTGACAGCTGCTCTCCAGGAAAGTGTTTGTGTTTCCAGCATCTTCTTCCTGATGGCCGGAGTCTTCGCGATCTGTTCGCTCGGGAAACTCTTCATGTTTAACAGTGGGAAATAAATCTCTTATATCTGTATGAATGCAAGGGGTTTGGGAAAAGAGTGCAACCTTATGCACTCAACTGTATGAATAAAGTACCAGTCAAACATCTGGACACATTTGATTCAATATATATTTAATTGAATGTGTTTAATTAGACATGTGTGTAAAGAATAATATAAAGTCATTATCTCGAAATAATGGCTGCTCAAATAAATGCATCGACATTACATATTGATTTAAGTTTACAGTATTTCATTATATATTATTTTTGTATGAAAAAAAATCCATTACAAACCAGACGAACACTACAACAATATTTTAGCATTATTTATATATTGCTATTAATTTGCAGCACAAGTGAAATCTGTGGTCATTACAATTAGGTTTATATCATAACTGCTGGAGTCATTACTGTGTGTGTGTGTGTGTGTGTGTGTGTGTATGTGAGAGTGAGTGAATGTGTGTGTGTGTGTGTGTGTGTGTGTGTGTGTGTGTGTGAGAGAGAGAGAGAGAGAGAGAGAGTGTGTGTGTGTGTGTGTGTGTGTGTGTGTGTGTCTCAGACTGCAGCTGCACTGCTGGATCCCACTGGGCTTCATTAAAAGAAACTGCAGTCAGTGTGAGACCGAGAGACAGAAACAGACATATTAACCGACACACACACACACACACACACACATATATGTAGATAGAGAGAGAGAGAGAGAGAGAGAGAGAGAGAGAGAGAGAGAGAGAGAGAGAGAGGTCAGTAAATGATAGTATAGTCACCAGACTGAGCCCAACACTATAGTTCCTCACTAGTTCCTCCAGATGAAACAGCTTCACAGATGCTGGACTCAATACAGAGCCTCCTATCTTCAGAGCAGTGTCTGATGCTGCTGACTCTCATGAGTGGGCAGATATCA